CCAGCAGTGTGTATCTGCGGGGTCAGACCCAGTTCTCAGTACAAGGAGGGCTTAGCCAGCCAGCACCCAGGGGAGGCTGACACTGTTGGAGGAGACGGTCGACACATGCCACACGGGGTCGTGACTCTCACCAGCTCACGGCTGAAGGTGAGACGCGAGAACGCTGCTGGCTGCCGGCCCGTGCCATATCAGGGGGCACTGGCACTGAACCCGGGTGCACCAGTCATGAGACTTCGCCTTTTCTTCTTTGTCCCACCCCCCACTTGCGAGTGCCCTCTTGCTTCTGCAGCTCCACTGCCCCTCTGCTGTGTTACCTGACACGGTCACAAGCTCCAGCATAGGACCTCACATCCTCGGGAAGCCATTCAGGTGCCGACTCACTCCCTGCTCCTGGGCAACATCCCGGTGCCACCCCGTCCCCTCCTTCTCCTGGCTTGGCTCTGATACTCCAATGCACGGTCTTTTAGCTCAGCCAGAGTCATCCTCTGTGACCTGCGGCCACAAGCATTTCAGAGATACGAGGGAACCCTCTGGGTTTCGCTCACTGGCTTGTGTGTGTCACACAGAGCTGCAGAGAGCTTTAAATGTCACGAACGCAGAGCCTCTGCTTCTTTGCTGACCTTGAGTCTGATACATCCAACCATCTCATGAGTGCATCCTCCTAACCATCTGCTGTGTGCCTCAAACGCGTACAAAACAAATTTCAGATGCCACCACCAGCCTCCCCCCAACATACACAAAACTTGTTTTGCCCCCAATCATCTCTCCAGTTCAGGAAACGGTAACTCCATCCCATCGGCTGCTCGGGCCACAAGTCTTAGGTTTTCCATGGCGTCCCTCCTCCTCCCAGACCTCACATCCAATCCGGCATAGATCCTATCGATTCTACGTTCAGAAGAGACTAGCATCTGACACTTACCACACCACTCGATCTGAGCCACCTCAACCATTGCAGCAAACCCCTAACAGGCCTCCTGGTCTCTGATTCTGCTGCCCCAGAGCTGCCCTATTCTGAACATAATTCTTAACAGAAGGGTCACAAGGAAGAGTGCATGGCTGCTCCGCTCAGATCCTCAGAGCAAACGCCAAGGTCCTCACTCTGGCTAAGACAACTGTTTCTAGGACTCGGGCTCAGCCACTTCCAAAAGCTCACCTCCAGCCCTCTCCCTCGGCCCACCCGGGCCATGCCTCCAACGCACCGGCCATTCTGCTCCCTCATCTGCTCCTCTCCCTGATTTACTCCCAGGCCTCCTCCCTGACTCCTTCCGGTCTCTGCTCAAAGGTCTCCGGTTATTATCAGAGAGGGCTTCTCTGAACGCACATCTACAACAGCAACCCACCGGACCCCCCTCTCCCCACTGCATGCCCGGCTTCATTTTCTCCTCTCTGTTGTCACCAGCTGGCCTATCACGTCTCCTTCCACTTGGAGACGGGCTCCCTGAGGACAGGGCCTTTCTTTGGTTTCCTGCGGCACAGCCGGTGCCTGGAACGGTGCCTGGCAGGTAGTAGGTCCTCAGGACGTATTCGGTGAATGAATCGGGAGAAAAGGCCCAAACTGCCATCAGAACTGTGTGAGTTTTTCATTTGGCCTCATTCTCCTGTGAATGGGAAGCAGCTCACATCCACCTCCGGGACACTCACTTCAGCTCCTTTTCCGGGGGGTGATGAAGTTTTGCCGCTCCTCTTGCTACACGACGGAAGCCTCCTCACTCAACAAGTATGCGGTGCAGGAGCAGAGAGGCTGCTGGTGACAGGGTGCTGGGCTCGGCACACGGCAGCGGCCCTCCGTCTCCCGCTGCCCCTCACCCAGTGCTACACAGACCTCATTTCCACCCCATCCCCCGCTAGGCCTCGGAATGTTGTAAAGCCCGTGCCTTAATTGGAAAACCACGTTTGCCTTCTCTTTTGTCAAAAATTTCTGAAGTTAGCGACTTACAGCCCCAACACAAGGGAATACATATAAATAACACCCTCACAGGCACGCTCAGGGCTACGTGGGCACGAGAGTTTGTGTGGGCCTGTGGCTCACGCCGACCTATAGTGTTTCACACTGAAGGCTGACGTTCTAAAAGGGAGAAATAGGAACAAAAGTAGCATATGCAAAAAATACTTCAAAGACACGAAGAGGGTTTGGCAAGACAAAGTGAAAAGAAGGATCAGCCTAGACAGGCCTGGCGCAGAAGCCAGAGGGCCACCGGTCAGCTGTGTGCCCCTTGGGAGGACCCTCGGCATCCCGTCTGCAGTCCGCGAGCTCCAAGCACAGCTGACGGCAATGGTGAGGATCAGGGAAGACGTGTTTCGAGAAGGTGTCCAATAATTAATGGCCGCTGTTAAAATTGTTACTAAGCCATCCAACAAACTTTTCAAGTCAGGAATTATCGTTAGAATTGTTGTTTCCCTTGAAAGCGAAAAAAATTAAACTGTAAGCCGAAAGCTCACATTTTGAAGATCCCGCGGTAATGTTAACAATAAGGGGGTGGGGTTGGCGAGACCAGGCTCCTCCTCCCTGTGGCCAAGGACCACCTTCCCCTCGCCCTCCCCAAACCCATGTGGTGGAAGGGACCACAGATAATCAGGTTACAGCAGGTACAGAAGCTTGACCCGTTTCAATATGAGTGAAACGCTTTGAGCCAAACATTTGTTTTCAAATGACACCTTTGGTGGCGCAGAACAGATCTAACGCCATCTGACTTTTGTCTGCCAACCATCCAGACAGGGGCCCTGCAGAAATGCCCTTCCAACTGCCATGCAAAGCCGAACTTTCTATCTCTGAATGATGTATAAACTCGCAGAGAAAACCACACACATGCTGATTTATGATGTCCTGCACAGCAGGTACTTAATAAATACGGGGGTGATGATGAGGTGGAAAATATGAAACCTGAAGGGCCTTACAAATGTGTAAATATCCCTAATCAGCCTCATCTCATCTCATCTCCTAAAAAAGGGATCACCGGCATATTATTCTACTGACATTGGAGATTCATCAATAGCTTCGCAGGCCATTTGTTTGATGTGACACCAAGTTAAAACCTACTTAGCATCTTTACATCATTAGCTCACCAGGAATTCAAGAGTCTTTGGCAAGAATCTGCAAGTAAAACAAGAAAAGCTTTTCAAGTTAAGACTTGTTATTTCACTCTACCTCCTTTCATACTTCTCGAATAAATGCCGACACCTAGACCACAAGTCAAAAACGAATTGCCAGACGGCGACCACCGTGGGCCGTGCCCCCATGGACATGAAGGGAAGCTCCAGTGTTGGAGAAGCTTAATTTGATCCCCTCATCCTCCCTCACACCTCCTCTTCCCCGGCATTCTTCCCAAACTGGCCCAGCCATGCTGGGCTCAATGCTAGAACTCTCCAGAATATTTTGCCAGAGTCCATCTCAGCTGCCTTGTGTTCAACCTAACAGGTTTCTAAAAGAATGAAAAATTGATCCCTGTTCTTCGTTTCACCGACCCGAAGAGGCATCTGCTATCAATGGAAGCAATATAAAGTTGGACACACAAACAACTCTTCCCAAAATAAGGAAAAAGGAAAGCAGGTTCCCATTTTCTGAGGTAATTAGAATTTTTACGAACATTTTTTTCATTTAAAAAAATTTGCTTAATGTTCATTTATTTTTGAGAGAGAGACAGACGGAGACAGAGCTTGAGTGGGTAAGGGGGAGAGAGAAAGGGAGAACAGAATCCGAAGCAGGCTCCCAACTGTCAGCACAGAGACGGATGAGGGGCTTGAACTCAGGAACTGTGACATCAAGACCTGAGCTAAGATCGAGAGTCTGATGCTTAACTGACTGACCACCCAGATGCCCCATTAACATTTTTAAATGTTGTGTTTGTACATTTCAACAGTCTTCCTGTTTCCAATAACAAGGGTAAGAAACGTTTGTTAAATGGGATTCAGAATGGCCTAAGGTCAAGCAGGTTCAGATGCCCGGCTGGGAGAGCATGACAGCTGGACTAGAGAAGGGATCCCGTGGATGGGCAGGCAGGAGAGAAAGCAAGTCTACACCCCACGGTGACTTTCAGAGTTACGTTTAAAACCTACTCAGCAAACTGTGTTTTATATGTATGTGTATATATCTATCTATCTATCTATCTATCTATCTATCTACACACACACACACACACACACACACACATCCTTTTTGGAAAGAAGAGAATAAAACAAAAGCATTTTCTTCTCATGAATCTTTGTATGAGTGCAACCATCTGATGGTGTAAGTACTTAACTTTTAGCCCAAGCTTATAGCATTTCAGGATTCTTTCAGAAATGCTCATCCTTGCAGTGTTTATATTTGGTATATTAACTTTGAATTGTATTGCAAAATGCCCACTTATGAAATGTATGTGAAATGTTCTCTTTGAATCACTTAAAGCTCTAAATGAAGAAAATCTGTTTGGCATTAGATAAATACCTTGAATGCGGGATAGGCAGGAACACCCTGAAATAATGCTTAACTAATCACAAAGCAGTATTCTGCAATAGATGCCGAACCACTAATTAGACGAAGGGAAATAAAACTGTCACGGCAGGATAAAAGGATAAAGAGAAATAAGCAGTAATTACTGTTTTATCGTCAGAGAAAGTGGTATCGAACATGGTTCAGTAAAAAGAGGGAAAAAACCCCCACAGCTAAGTAAATACCGGCACTCATTAAATTAGCACTTGGAGCTAAACAACTCAGGGATGACAATATCTTACAAAGCGCATCCAGAAAGGGAAAAACGGACCACAACGACCAAGTAAGGATGCTTTCTTTACTCAGGGCGGGCAGCACTCTGCAGACTAACTTTACGGGATGACGATTTCCTCAAACTGCCGAAACATTTCTCCGCCAGGTCCTCAAAGAGCCACTCACCACGGCCTGGGGAAGGACTACGAGGCCACATCATTCTTCTCAGGGCTTAATCGATACAGTGAACTTCATTAAATGATACATAAATGGTGCCAACAAGCGCCAAGAGTTGTATTTTAAAGTTGGAGCAACTTACATTCTGCTGCTGGGAACGATCTTGTGCCCTTCTCTAAACCACGTCACCTGCGGTCTGGGGCAGCTGCTGATGGGAAGGAAGTCGAGAACTGCTGCGTGTCCTTGAGAAACCGTTTTCCTCTGGTCCGTATCCATGAAATTTCCCATATCTGCAGAGAAAAATCAGACCCTTTGAGTTCTAGAAAACTACTTTGTGTGTGTGTGTGTGTGTGTGTGTGTTGGGGGGGCGGTGGAGGGTCCAAGATGGAAATAACTATGTATTACAGCAAAGTCACCACCGGTGCTTTAATTAAACTATAAGACAAGAAGAGACTGAGCAGCAGTGCTGACGAGGGCAGATCTGGTGGGGAGGTGAAGCGGGAGGCAAAGCCACGTGCCTCCAAGGTGCCCACGAAATGCATTCATCAGCAGAACTTCGTGGTCTCTGTCGCTGCAACAACGCGATGAAATGTTTGCAACTGATTTGAATTCTGGAATAAACTATGGAGAAGCATCCTACCGCCACAGAGACCTTAGAGTCGCCCTTAGCTATCCGCCAACTCCCCAGTTTCTCAAGCTAGTTCTGCCCAGGCAGCCACCACTGCCCGGTTCACTTTCTCCTTCTTTCCGTTGCTGGGGTGACTGTCTCCCTAACAGATCTTTTGGAAGAGAGATTTTTTTTTTTTTCAACCACGAACTTGTTTTTACAGGGTTCTTCAAACCCCATACTGTTGACTTAATTAGGGACAGGTAGGCTCTGTTGCAGCCTCTTGTGCTGCTTAACATTTTTAAGAAATGGGGTCACAGGAAAAAACGAAGTCATTAGAATGTGGGCAGAGGACACCAATTTTTAAATTAGTAACATTTGAAACTTTTGAAAATTGTCTATGTTAGGATTAGAGACAGACACATGTGTATACACACAGATTTGACTTATATGCTTTTTGTCTCAATGTATTTAATTTGGCATAGTCCATAGCAAATCTATATTATCAATGGAATTTTTATTCAGAGGAAATTATTCCCTATGTAATAAACAGCATTTAATATTCTAGGAGATGAAACAGATGAGGTGAACAGTCACAGTTATTTTTAAAGTGAAGCTCGTTAACAAAAAGGAGGAGAAAAGAAAGAAAAAAATCTAAGAGCCAAAGATAAATTTCTAGAAACAAGGATATAAATAAATAACCAAGAAAAAGTCCAAAATTTAATTTTATTCAATAGAATTTAATACATTACCATAAATTCCAAGCTGTTAACTTATTCAAATATGTTTGGGGTATTGAACTGAAATTCATATTTATTAATTATGTTTTCAATTATTCAATTGAATACAAGTTCCAAATTATCCTGCAGTAAGATTTAGCTGAGTGACTTCACCACAATTCAGAAAAGTTAAGCCTTCCTAGTAATTAAAAACATAACTAAACGTGTAGAGACAGAATAGACGAGTAACTAGAAATTGTTTTCTTTGATACAGTGACACTGAAAACTATAGGCCTTACCTGTGGTCAAAATAACAAAGAGAAAATACTGTCTTTTTTGGTTGGCACAGCCCAGTTTAGGATCTCTCGAGTTCTCTCAAATCCGTTATAACGTATTAATACGTAATTTAAAGTAGCATAACACTTTCTGCTTTCTTTTAAATGAAGAGACATTTCGGTAGTAAATTCAAAATGTAATAAAGCTGACAGGCCGTTTTAGAAGGACCCTACTTTGCCAGGTTTTGGACTAGAAAAGTATTAAGTGCTTTGTGCAGACCAGCTTGTCTCTCCAATTCCTGCTAACGATGTGCAAACTCCCTGCATTCTGGTATCTCCCCTTCAGTTACTTTCAGAAGCCGCATTCTCTAAAATGAGTCTTGCCCACAGAGAATGCATCAGGTCCCCAACAGTAATACCTAGACAGTAATACCGTCTAGGACATTACTATCCATGTACTTTCTATCGTGGAGCTAAAGGATTTCTAAACAAATTGCTGGAAAGAACTAATTATGAACTGAAGAAATTTTATCTAATTGGGCTTAATTTTTTATTTGAAAAACATTTGAATCTGAACATAACAATGATAATAAAAGCCACGAGCAGCTAATTCATAAAAGAGAAGGCATCCTGTTCATTTTTTATGTCTTTTTGTCCTCCCCAGTGCCTGACAGAGCCCCTGACGGGTGAATTTTACACAAGTGCTATTTGCCTCATTAGCCCCATCACCAACACTGGGCCAGCTACACTGGCTACCTGTCTCCCAACAAATTTTAGCAATGACCCTATCCCAAAGAGAATCTAAGACACAGTCTCAATTCCCACAACAGGTAACGGTGATTTTGATCGGCATTCCCCACAGACACTCTGTTTCTGTGATTCATCACTTGGGGACTTTTCCAATGCACACATACATGCGACTTGAACTTCTGATCTTCTCTGCAAGAGAGCTCCCATCCTGTTTCGCACCACACAGCGGTAAAACCCAGCGTCAAGCCTCTGTAAGGACGGGATAATGTACCTGCCAAACACCAAAAAGAAGTATTAATGGTCCTGTGTCTAGAGCAGTTCTGGCACCACATGTTGCAAGTGTTCAACAAGCATTTTTGGTGAACCGTCTATGCAATCCTTCCGTGGCCAACACGCTTACCCCAAATGCAAATTACTTGTGACATTACATAATCGATGTCTGTCTCCCCAGCTAGGCGGTCAGGGGCACAAGCAACCAGCCTCTAGACCTGCCTGGTTCATGGCTGTGCCCTGGCACCCAGCACGACGCCATGCATGGAGTACTTATCACGCACAACTAGCTGAACACATGACAAATGTGAAACAGCTGAAGGTCATTACATGTAAACGAGACCTTTCAACAAAAAGTGTTATAATTCTGTCAGAATTTCTAAAAGTTATTTCTAGAACTGGAAACCATCTTTATATAATGTGTTGTGTCACTCTATATAAAAATTCAAGCCACACTTTCAGGATGAGACACGGGTGTCATCGAGGCAGAGAGCAGGGACACTCAGTGTTGCAGACCACCCCCCCAACATAATTCACACACTTCCCTTGCCCACTTCCCCACACACGGTCTGACATTAACTTTAAAAACATTTTGGATAACTGAAAGGTGGTTTCACTTGTATTTTCCATCGTCGTGGCTGTAAGCAATCGTCATCCTTCAAATCAAAGACTTTCTAAAAACTTCAGTAACATTTCATGGTAGAAAAAAAATGTACTTAGAAGATACAGTTTCCATAAAAGCCCTGCTTTAGGTTTATGGTTAGTTTTATAACTTAGGATGGTTTGAAATCCATAAGCAAGTAAGATTTATAACGAAGGACCACTTGAAGTGAGTTTTACAGCTCTGGAGCCCCAACCTTTCACAATACCTGAGAGAGTACACTAACTGGTTTCTAGGCCATGTTCACAAACAAACCAAGAATGAGGCTGAGTCCTGGCTACTTCGTACACATGGGAAGGTGTGTACTACAAAAAAGAACACAGAGAGCTAAAACCCAGTCTTAAAGGTAGCCTATCTTCCGAAAAAGAGAAAACTGAGTGATGCTATCCTTCATTACAGAGAGGTTCCGTACATAATTATCATCAATTTAAAACTACTTCTCCTAACAAAGGATAACCAGAAACTTTTAAAACTCAGGTAAAAAGCACCACGTATGGTAGGCTTTCTTGGCTCAGTTCCTAAGCATAGCTTGAAATCACTTATATTCAACTGATTGCTCAACTTTTTATTCAAGTATGTCCAATTAGTCAACCCGAAAAAGGAACTTAAAGGCCTAATTTTTAAGTGAATAAAACACTTGGACAATATAGGTAATTCAGCACTAAGCAAATATTAATCAAAGTATGTTTTCCCTCTGATAACCATCTTGACAGTCCCATGACAAGATTAATAAAATCTTTTATGAAAAAATATCGCTGAGTTTTAATCTTCAAAATTTTATTCTATTCTGAGGAATGGCTCATCTCAAACACAAAATTAATTAGTGTGGATAATCAGAGTAAGATCAAACTGAACACAAAGAGTCAACGCCATTTATTTAAATGACAAGTCAAGACTGGAAGGATGAGCAGCTTTGATGGTTACATAACTGTGATTATAATAAGGAGGGGTTTTGAGATTAAGTTGACACAAAGCCAACATGGGTGTTTTGAAATGAAATAGCACGAGTCACAGGAGCACGTGTTTGAAAAAAACCACACGCACAGTGTCACCTCTGCAACATGTCCGCGATTATATAATTGTTATCCATTCCATTTTCTCTCTCTTGCGGGGTCCTAAATAGATTTTAAATTCTTATGAATTTCTACAGTAATCGTATGTACTAATGCATGAAAATAGCAGTGTTTTCAAACCACAGGGAGGAGCAGATACAAAATTGAGTATTAGGCATATGCTGTTCCGTACCAACTCTTTAGTCTCATGTCTCGCCAGGGAAAAAATATACAAAAAGTTGCAAAGTACTCCACCTATTACAGGAATTCCTACACAAATTATGTTCACCTAACAGATGGGAATATTCACTGCAAGCCCATTGTTTATAAACACACATTTTTAAGCAGAGAAAGTTTCCTGGCTCTTTAGAAGAAAGTATGATAAAATCTTAGCACCATATGCCACCAAAATATAGAAAATGCCTGCTCCCATTTCAAATAAACACAGCAGGGAATGTTTGTATTCACTGGATAAAGGCAGAGTCTCTACTAGACTAACAGAACATTTTCCAGGGCCAGTTCGTTATCAGGAAGAGCAAATTAAAGAAAATCAAGCACAAAATCACAATAAAACCAAGGGTTTAAACGTCCATTTCTGCTCCAGTAGGAGAATACCTTAGTTCTGAGCTGCCTCTCAGGATGGGCCACATGACCCACCTCAGGGTTTCTCTAACAAGCAACCTGAGCTCCATTTCGGCCGGTAAACAATGGCCTGACTAGCCCTGCCTGGAGTGAATGTGTGACCTGGTTTGGGCTGCCTAGGATCTAGAGCACTGTCCTGTGTTTGGAGAATTTTCCACTCTGTGGGTCTCAGTGGAGGCAGACCCCTGGACACACGTACTCTGGGTCTTTAGACCTGAGGCTGAGAAGTGGGGCTAATGGAGAAGCGGTCGGACGGCATCGGTGCTGGGGCTCAGCAGAGCCCTGGACCAGGGGCACAGCGCGGTGTCCAGTGCCAGTCGGGGCAGAGGCTCAAACAACGGCATCCCGGGCCCAGTGGGAGCAGCGGCAGGAGCCCCGGGGGGAACGGCTCCCAGGCCGATTTGGCTCTGAAGGCTCCTTCAGTCTGCCGGTGGTTCGGGGACCAACCCGGCGTCCAGGCAACAACTTCCTTTTCCATTTCCGTCAGAGAGAGTTTGCCCCTGTGGCTCGTCCTAGAACCCCCCAAGGCCTACCCTCCAGAGCACAGCCAAAATAACCGCGGCTGGAAAATCTTTTCACGTTACCAGGCACTCACCGTGGTCACAGAAAAACCTAAATAATGCCTCTCGGAATCCTCTCTTTTAGAACTCATGGCTTCCTGGCAAACCACTAAGAACCATTAGGTGATAAACAATCCCCCCAAAACTGGGACAAATAAACCTGTTCTGAGTTTTCCTGAATGTGCAGCGCTAAAAGCTTAGAAAGTGTCTGACAAAATGCTGCCTGGTTGTAGACTGGCTACTTACTGTTGAGCGGTTCTTCCAACAACAGCGAGCTACTCTAAGGACACAGGTCTCACAGTCCCACCGTGGTTCAGAATAGCGAAGGCACATCCGCACTTCTCCCTCTGAAGTCAGGTGACATAATTCAATTCACAAAACAGAACTCTCATGCCCATTAAAACTAGATCTAAGGCACAGGGTGCTGGCATAGCTCAGTCAGTTAAGCATCGGACTTTGGTTCAGGTCATGATCTCACAGTTTGCGAGTTCGAGCCCCACACCAGGCTCTGTGCCGTCAACTCAGAGACTGGAGCCTGCTTCGGATTCTGTGTCTCCCTCTCTCTCTGCCCTGCCCCTGCTCGCACTCTTTCTCTCTCTCAAAAATAAACAAACGTTAAAAAAAAAAACAACTAGATATGAGGCTCTTTTCTTTGAATGGGGGTCTACATTCATTTCAGGCCACTTCAGATAAGACTATCCCCCACAATTTAATTTTTTTATGCTGGTATAAAAATATCTATTTTGCATGAAAATAAACAACCAAGTTCTATAATAAACTTTCCTATCTTGGCCCAAAGCCCAATCTTATTCAAAGTGGGAAAAAAAGGTTATGAAAAAAAAAAAACTAAGCCACTTATACCTTTCTTGGGATTACTTTCATTCTTCTTTTGTGAGAGGAGATGATAAATAATTAGACTTTCACTTCTATTTTTTATAAATTTCCTATGTGACATTAAAAAATAATAATCACAAGTGGAATGAATCTATAGCTGGCTTCTTTCACAAGCAAAATACTGAAATGAAAACCCCAAACTGAAATACGTTAAGGAGATCTTAGGACCCAGAGCTGTAAACAGCATGGGCCTATAAGGGATTCTACTTCTCGGAGCCAAACTGTGTAAGACTAGTTCATTTGAGCCAAAATATAACTGTGATTATTGTGAGCTGGGCAGTTCAAAGAGGACAAGACCAGTGGAGAATTAAGCAGCAGAAAAGAGTGACTATAAACCAAGTCGGGAAAACTGAAACCAGACAGCTGGGGGCACCACGCCCTTGCGCAAAGACACGGGTGGGTGTCGTGCTCAGTTCAGTGAGATGATGGAGAAACCAGTGGGTCATCACATGTCACCTAACGGAAGAGTTCTGTTAAACAGACCTTTCCTCTTGGTGACTGGGGGACACAGCAGATCAAAAGCAAAACAAAACAAAAAACATGTAGAGGAGTCTTTCCCATGGTGTAGTAATGAAGCCTAATTAGCTGCTTTGTCTCAGGGTCTGAAGATTTCTGAACACTGATCTTACGTCCTGGAACACTGCTAAGCCCACTTACTAGTTTTAGCAGCTTGTTTATAGATAATGTCACATTTTCTACATAGACGATGTAGAAATAAAAGACCTTCAATAAAAGACATTTTTATGTCTTACAATCTAGATGCTATTTCTTTTGTATTTTTCTTCTTTATTGCATTGGCCAGTAACACCACTACAGGGACCAGAGGAGCTTCCCGCACTGGGGGGTTTGTAGGTTTCATCAACTGGAGAACATCTGCCATCTGATTTCTTCAACTATTTTTCCACTCCTGCCTCCTTTGGGATTCCAAACACACTCACATTAGACTCTCTGAAGTTGTCCTGTAAGTCACTAATGCTCTTTTCATTGTGTTTGATTCCCTTTTTTTTTTTTTTTTTTTTTATATCTGCCATTCATTGTGGATAATCCCACTGCTGTATCTTTAAGTTTACTAACATTTTCTTCTGGAACATCTACTCTGCTACTCTCCCATCCAGTGTGTTTTTCATCTCAGATATCACAGGTTTCATCCTCAGGAGTTTGATTTCGGCCTTTTAACATCTTGTATGTATTT